CACTAATTGGCTTTATTTCAAAACTAAACAAAATTTTCTAAATTTTGGTGTAAGATTTGGTTGTGTATTATCAGGTATATATAAAGTACAAAAACATTTAAACTCCTATGGAAAAGCTTTGGTTTGGTTGTTCAATTGCTTTAAAATCTCCAATAGATATTCCTTGATTCAGCATCAATGAAGACAAATGAGGGATGCTTATGGCAGGTAAGACTATATGTTTTGGTAATCTGTCACAGAAACAGATGCCAGATAAAAAGAAGTGGACATGTTAATAGATTTGTTGCTTCACACATGATCAAATAACTACTGACAGTCAACAAGTTAATCAGGATTTAAGACTATTAGTGGACAAGTGAGAAAGACATAAAGGCCGATTTGCCCCAATATTCACTCAAACCTCCCAACAAAAGCACTTGAGAAATTCAATAGGTGACAATGGGTCATTCTAAAGTCAATTGAGGGATATCAATTGACACACACTATTGATCAGAAATTAATCACCCCCATTCTTCCTCACAATAAGTCTAGAAGTGTGGACTTCAATTTGACACGCTCTCCAAACACTGACCATACTCGCCAGTTTGGACAAGATATTTTACCGGGTTATTCAATCTACTTAACACAACAGTAATCGATAATAGGGATATTAAATTAAACAAACCCTACCCAACGGCCACATATTGAACTACGACTGACACATACCACAAGTATGGAAGGGGCATTATGGATTTTAGATAAGCACTTTAAACTCCAATGGTTTATTATGACTCCATTGTGTTCCAGACTGATTGAATCTTGCTGAGTACTACCACTTCACCCAAATAAACTAAACATTAAGGCATCAATTTTCACATAAAGAAGTCTGCAACTTGATCTTCTAAATAAAGTACTCATCAGTAAGATTATAATAAAGCAATATTTTCCATCACATTTATTTATAAAAGCTCATTGTTGAATTATAAATTATCCATTAGAAATTTCCTGACATGAACAAGAACTACACATGCTTTGTAAATATTTTCAAGTTGCTAAAAAAAGGTATGAAAGAATCCTGTTAAGAAACAAGTATATTCAGATTGAGAGCAATGGCAAAAAAATGGATTAGTATACACAGGATCGTATAAATGGATTAGTATACACAGGATCGTATAAATGGATTAGTATACACAGGATTGTATAAATTTGAAAACTTTAATATCTTTATTGACGATGTACTCTTCTACCTATATTATGAATAAGTGTAATGTATCCCGAAATTTCTAGTCTTTACTTACAGTACGACAACATGGCTTTCTGGTCCCGATTCTTTGTTAATTTTCTTCATAATTTGATGTCAGATACTAGACAATTCTTGCAACACTTTGATAAAAACACAATTTAAATTTAACAGTTATTTTATGTATTAAGACTTTCTTCAAAAATCTATAGTGTATTTTTTGTAAATCTGTCTCTAAACTTGAAAGATATATTCTTGTAAAAATATTTTGGATATCTTACACAGAGATTTTTAAATATTAAGCCAATACAGTAAAGTTGTTGGTAAAATATTTCAAAGACTTCGAAATTTCTAACAAAATTACAAGTGTTATGTGATGCACTTGAACTTCAATTTTCACTTGACGTAAACAAATATACACTTGATTAAAGTCTTAAAGACAATAAATCTACAGTTTCTTTGATGTTGACAATTGAAGAGATTATCATTACACAATTAGGTCAGTGATCAATAAATATCAAACAAAAGGTCAAAGTTTAAACTTAGAAGAAATCCCTTAAATTCATATATTGATCCTTTAAGGGGTTTGATTATCTATTTGTCAATCTATAGCAGAATTGATTTCCCAGCAACTTAATAAATCGAAAACATTTTAGTGTGAGGGATTAGTACAAGTCTCAATGTAAATAGAATATGTTGAGTTTGGTTGGAACCATGGTGTTAAGAATTAATCAAATAAAGTGCCAGAAATGAACATTGTGGTGAACATGTGCCAACAAACCAAATACTGCTTAGTGCCGAACCATGAGGAAGAATTTATCACATGAGGTTACAGAACTGAAAATTCCATTCTCTTTTTGACCTTAGTTAAAGATGTATGTTTAGTATCCTTAAAATCCTATTTCCTCATCAAAAATATAGGATTCCAGGCAATGAAACCCACATCCACCTTGATGAATTGGCAAAGCTATCTAAAAGGCATGCCACATTGTGATTTTCTCATTACTGAATTAAAGATACATTATGTAAGATTTAGATAAAGAGCTAGCCATTCTTGCTATAATAATTCGAAAATAGATAATGCAAAATGAATAATTTGAAAATTTAATTCAAGTTACTCTATTGCGAGCGAAGATATTAGCCTTTGAAGGTTTGACAAGACGTGTGCAATAATTTCAACCACCGTACTAGTCGTTCGAATCTAAGTCTTGCTCCTTAAATCAAAATATGGCTGAACTGTTCTAATCTATTTAATATTGGTGAAAAACGATGCCATCGAGAGTTGATTATGGCCTGGATAAGTTAATTAATGTTTAATTAATAATTTAGAAAACATTTCAGGCCTAAAGAAAGACCAGCAATAGGCAGATTTAGCTCTTGAATAATGTATGTTTAAGCATTTACAAGACACTAAAACTGTTCCTTTGCAACCCATAATCAGAAATTAATAAAATTCATAGCGCTGACAAAAAGAACATAGATAAATTTGTACTTAGCTTAAGCCACTATACCATCCTTGTCTCACTGTACATAAATGTCAAGTTAGAAGAAAAATTTAGATTCCAAATAGTTCACAAGGGTTTGTTAAAGGGGGAGTTACAGACAGCAGCAATCTAATTAAAATTTGTACTTGGGTATAATATTGTTGGTCTTCCCCACATACAACTTAAAAATGACAAGAAAGTGACTTTTTTTCAATTTGGGTATAAAAAAATCATCCGCTCGGACAACTAAATCCTTAATAGTTTTATATGTAAGCTTATACAACACATACAAACACTAAAATATAACTGTTAGCTAAGTTAACATCTCAAGGTGTTCTAGACAGAATAAACATATTCTGTCATGTGCATGACATCTGTCACTATAGCTAAAACAGGGCAAGATACAGAATATGTAGTATACATAAATAATACTTGCACAATTACAAGCTTATATTAAATTAGTTTCTCAGTAAATTCTGATGAAAATTCATTTATCTTACAAATCATTTTTTATCACCTTAAAATTCCTTTACATGTAAGTAAAGAAAAAACAAAGAAGTTGTTTATATCCCAGATAAGCGTAAAAGCAATATGCAAATTCCATTGCAGTTCAATGCACCATAATAAAACAAGGAATGCACTCAAATGTCCAGTCATACAACATTAAAAAAGAATCTTTATCTGTAGACATTGGTCGTAAAACTGCATTAATCTTAAGTGACTCATTTATAGTTAGATAATCTTAGATTCCAGATATGTTCAGCAACTGAACAAAAAACATTGAGCTTAAAAAGCTACGCTAATTGTGATTTATCGTAGAAGTGCAACCACTGCATATTTAATAAAGATCTAGTCTCTATGCAATACAACTACAAGAGAAAAAAATTTAATAAGTGTAGATTTAAATCTTCAACTTTTTGACAGAACTAAAACCAGATGGAAACCATTCAAAGTCAACATATCAAATTTCTTTATACAGGTAGTTAATAAAAAACTTCAATAGTAAAGGATTCGAATTCAACAAAGTCGGCTGAATCACTGCCTAAGTAAATACTACATATTAAAAAGATTTTTATAAATGCATGAATATCTTAGTGCTTGAGAAAATACATAAAAAAGATAAAATGGATTTAATTTATATAAAGCTAAATGAGCTTCACAAGTGTAGCCTGTCATATATCTTCATACTTAGTTTCAACAGGAGAGAATAAATACGGCTTTATATCCCATAATATAAATATCTTACAATGATTTATATAATATTTATATAAAATGTAGGACATATCCAACTTTAGCACAATATTTCTTTAAGTGAGGAATGTTAAAAATACAAAAAGGTATTGGTAATGTAAAAAATATGAGTCGCTATTGTCAACATTTGAATATAAATGGTAATAATGTGAGTTATACTAATGTATAATACAAGACTGCTAATTTAATGTAGAGTTGTGGGGATATTAAAATGTGATAATAAAGTTAATCATGTAGAAAAGATTAGTAATGATTTCTATGTAAGATATATGTAAGAAATAATTAAGTATTGTGTAAGTTGGCAGGTATATATAAATCATGTATGCAATATATATATATATAGCAGTATGTACTATGTCGGCATGTATATCATATTTATCTAATGAATACACCTACATATGCCTTTGATCTCTTTGATTGTACAAAGTAGAATATAGACATAACCTTTTAACAATAATGTTACAAATTTTATAATCTTTCACAAAAAATCAATGGTTCTTTCAATTTTTTCTTATTCTTCGGTGCTTTGATCTTCTCTTTGTAATCATTTGATTTCGAAACCAACTTGCTTTTCAAATATTTAGATATATCTTTATAAGCTACTATATAATCTATTTAAGACATCATAGCATATTTTTGATACTATGCAATATGTGTGTTAGTTTTTAAAATCTGTAAACATGCCTAGGCAAAGTCTGATCTTAATAAAAATGTATTCCTCTACTGCTATGAACACTCTCCATACTGCAGTTAATTTTCTATATCAAAAACATCAAATTATTTGCTAACTTTCAAGAGTGTCTCCTTCTACTCAATTGTTACCAGAATAAAAGATGGAATCTTTTGTGTACTACTGCATTTAATAAGAACACCAGGTAATATAATTTTGAAAATTGATAAAAAGAAGATCAACTACTAATAAAATATACTTGAAATACTTACTGCTGACTTTTAGTGATTTGATTTTTTTAATAAAACAGAATTAGGAATGAAATAGTCAAAAGAAAAAATATCCAAACTATAAAATACAGTCAACATGTACCTACCTTTAGAAGAGGATCTGTACAGGCATTAATAGCACCCAGATAAGCCGCTACTTGTAAAGGATTATCATAGGTATTTGTTAGTAACGGTTTAGGTTTCCTAGATGTCTTCCAATCTATTACACATAATGTGTCTCTGGAAAAGAATACGAAAAGAATTTCAAAACATAATTTTGTTTATTGCAACTTATTTGAATAACAGATTCCTTTTTCAGGGTATTCATATATATTTGGTTCCCTTCATATAGAACATATTTTATGACATCTGAGAATTTATGATGTTGCTTCATTTTTATTTTCATTTCTTTGTGTAAAACTCTGCTAGAGAGATTTTTTTAACATTCTAACTATGTTTCAAGACAAAATTTTACAGTATTCCCTAATGAGCCGACATTTGGTGTTTCTATAACAATAAGACTGTAAACCAACATCACTTTAATGACTACAATAAGTTCAATTTTAACTTTAACGTACACTGACACTTATTGGTTGAGAATGGTATTTTGAATTTAGATTTTGACAAATTGAAATCTAATATTATCTGGTATGCCTTTACAAAGTCATATTCATATTGAAATCTAAATATTTTTTTTTTTTACAAGACTAGTATCATACTAAATGGAATAAAATATACATGTACTGCATACCGTTCAGGGTCACACAAGTTCCCACATTTACTGTGTAAAATGTAAAACAAACATGGCAGAAATGTCACAGGTTTTATTCATTAGTTTATTATAAAAGTCAACAATATTCCTAATTGTTCATATATGAATAAATTAGAAACATATTGAGTTACCTTAACAGCACCAAAGTTCCTACATGTACCCTGAGGACACAACTTAAATCTGAAGACTTCTACAAGAAGGCAATCAGAAAATCCCCAGAGTTATATAGTTCATGAACTTCTGACCACTGCTTGTACCAAGTGTCACTTTTCATTTTAAACAATTACTAACAGAGCCTACATAAATATTGTATTAAAATATCAGCAAGATTCTATCAATTGTAATGTAATAGTACCAAACTATGGCTGTTTATCTGGATGTTTATCAATAACAGTATCATTGTTATTTTTCAAACTGTGCACCCCATTGAGAATTTAATATTTCCTGTTAAAGACAAATAAGGCAATTTACATATGCACAGATTTAAAATCTCTGATGATATATTTGAGGATTTTTACTCTAAAATTGTGCAAGTTGAACACCTATAAGGGAAAATCAGACTCAAATTATTCAATTCTGCTCAGTATTTAGTAAGATAAGATAGACTGTAAATTTTTTGACATCTTTTTACTCTGACTGAATCCAAGCCGGAAGATAATCTATCGTTAATATTTTGATTTATTTACTAGTAATTAAATTTTAAACAACCAATCTGCGCATATTTAGTGTAGATCAGGGGTGTCAATTGTGCGAGCCGCAGGCCAGATCCGGGTTTAAATGTGGCCTGTAGAACAAATTTCAACAAACTGACATGTCGATAATTCTTAGAAGCTAGCGGTGGAAATCAGTGACATGTATTATTGTGTTCCAGTTTCAGTACTGTATGTCATAGATGTCTAAGTTGTAGGCATGGCAAATTTGGTCCATTTAAAAGTAGTGTATAGCATTATAATATGTAACGATTTTAGTCCAATAAATCAATAAAATTTTCTTTAACTTAATTTTTTTTGTATATCTCCAGCCCACTTGATGTAAAATTTTAGTTGATATGGTCCCTGAATTGAAATGATTTTGACACCCCTGGTGTAGATTAAAGGACAATATTGGTGTCAGTCATTATCACATATGTGATAGAACTAATTAAACACGTTCCAAATATAATTTTAACACAGAGATCATTGCTACGATAGCTGAGTAATACAGGTTTCCTGAATCGGAAGTGACGAACGCCAAAGGAAAACACGAGTCATACTCTATACAACTGACTGATGTGACGAGTGATAACAGATACACGGCCGAATTTCTGCTCACTAATAATCCCTTCCAATCGTGTTTTTCTTTGGGTTCGTCACTTCCGATTCAGGAATTGTAGCAATGATCTCTGTGTTAAAATTATATTTGGAATGTGTTTAACCAGCTCTATCATATATGTGATAATGACTGGCACCAATATTATCCTTTAAGTCATGGAAAATTTGATATTGTCTGAAGAAATGCAAATATGACAATTTAACTATTTGCATTAAAATGATCCTTTTCAAAATTATAAAAAGAGTTGAATAGAAAAAAAAGAGTACTTTGATTAATTCATACTCTTAATATCACTTTAATAAAAATAAAAATTATGGAAACTGTGAATGTCTATTTCAGATTAAATATGGCATTCTTTTTGGAGCGTACATTTTTTTATTTGATACAAATTTTCTGTAGGGGCAGTTTTGTAGTTACATGTATGTGATAAACTCTGACAATACCATTTTATTTATTGCTAAAATACCTCACATGCCTTGGACTAAATTTTATTTTCTAATCATAAATCACATTAACTTCATCTTAAAAACATGTCATGTCTATACTTTCAAGTAAACATAAATTTTCATACACAATAGTCCTTGTGGGCAACTTGTGGCATACTTAAACATTGTAAATTAAATATTTAAAACTCAGTGATTATTTTAAGATATATTATGTAAGATTTAGATTTAGATAAAGAGCTGGTCGTTCTTGCTATAATAGTCCAAAAATAGATAATGCAAAATGAATATACTGAAAATTTCATTCAAGTGACTTTATTCTGAGCAAAGTTATTAATGTCTGTGCATTAATTGTTTATTATCGTAACCACCGTACTGGTTGTTCGAGACTAAACCTCTCTTCTCCATCTTTAAATTAAATCATTAAATGGTCTGACTATTCTAATCTGCTTAAAATTGGAGTCATGCAATGGCCTAAAGAGTTGATTATGGTTTTGTCATTTTATGTCTAATTAATAATTTATATAATATTTAAGGCCTAATGAAAGACCTACAATAGGCAGATTCAGCTCTTGAATAATGCCTCCTTATGTACGTATCTACATGTATTTTCGTTCAGCTTCTAAACTTGATATTTGACTTACATTATCTCATCTGAAGTAAGAGCACAGCCTAGGACCCAGAGGATCCATTGTATAAAACAGAATGTCAAAATAACAGCTCTATCTAGAAACATGTTTTTATGTTAAGAGCTAAATCTGCCTATTGCATGTCTTTCTTTTGGCTTCATGGATTTATTCTTATAAGAAGGCAATAATCAACTCTCTAGACCAGAATAGTTTAAAACACATGCACCATTTAATAGTTTATCATTAAGATAGCCACACAAAGTGTGAAAATATGCCCATGTAGCAGCTTTGTATCGAGAAAAAATATAGCCATTGATAGCAGCTTATCCACAAAAAAAAAACTTGGATGTTGACCAAATTTTAAAATTTGGCACTACGTTCGTCTACTCTTATATCAAATTCCAACTGTCAAGGGATCTTTCACATGCATGCCTCAGTTTTACATCCCATTCGAATGAGTAGACAGTAGTCCTTGTCAGACCCTCCTTCCTGCACCACTGACAAGGGGAAACCGTGCACCGGAAAAATCCTGATGAACTTCCTCAATCAACACCGGGATTGAACCCATGACATCCAGGCTAGTGAGCCAGCATCTTATTCACTTAGCCACCGTGGCTCCACAGAATGTTGAAGAGTGCTGACTGCTGAATATCCATAAGGTTTGTGAATGCTTCACAAAAAATTGGAAGAAAATCTGTTAAAATCTGTAGTCTCTATAGCGTTAAGGTTTAGACAAAAGGGAGGTAACTCTGGAACAGAACATCGATCGCTCCCCCTCTATCGCCTTAACAAGATTTTCGGCAAGGAGGATGTAAATCGATAGGATTTCATTCTCGCGTGATAACAATGTTTTGCACTAAATTTGAAAAGACTCTGTGAAATACTGTTTTCAGCAAAGGTTTTCGGCAAAGGGGGGATAACTCAGGAACGCTTAAAATCTATAGGGGTCGTTCACACCATATTTTAAAACAAAAACTGTTGCCTTTTTTACATTAACAAGCCAACTGTTGACCAACGAACATGGGTAACGACCTATTAAATGTGGGTGTATAAAAATTAACAATTAAGACTTTTTTTTATAATTGTAGCAATGGTACTTGACAATCAAGACTATATTGTCAAAACTTTCAAGATCTATTTTTGAACTATTATAGCAAGAATAGTCATCTCTTTATCTAAATAAACATTAAAGATACATTATGGGAGATAAGATAAAGAGCTGGCAGTTCTCACCATAATAGTTAAAAACTAGATAATGTATAGGGAATTTGCTGAAAATTTCAGTCAAATTGATCCACTCTGAACTGAGAATTTAGCGATAGAATTTTCGGCCTAGCCTCGATCATCATTACTAAAGTCAGTACGATAAAAAACATAGTCTTGATTATCCATTTCATGATTAAATCATGAATTAAAGTTGAGCAGCAAATCAGATCCTAATCCAGTAAATATCGCAGGCTAGCGATGACATCGAGAGTTGATTATGGTCTGGATAAGTTAATTAATGTCTAATTAATAATTTAGATAACATTTCAGGCCTATAGGCAGATTTAGTTCTTGCATAATGTATGTTTAAATAATGCATCTTTAATGGGTTTTTCTTAATCATCAATACTCTGTAGAGTATTAATCATTTTTTAATAATACAGTAAAAAAAAATAAGTTTAACTAACTTTCATTAAAAACCCATGGACAGACTAACAATACACACTCACTTTTACAGTGTGATGGGGCACTGATACACTGTTTGTGATCCACCTGCTGTGGAAATTAGCTGACTAAAAAAACATCAAAAATCTAAAATGACTCAGAAACTTGTAATTTATCGCAATACATAGCAACTTGAGTAATTACTGGATTAAAAAAAAGCACCTCTTTGCCAAAATCCACTTTTTACGAACATTTAATGCACTATTTTTCTGAGTAAATTAGAAGCAAGTCAGAAATAGAGAGTGCAAAATTTCCAATGATATCCTTATTCTGTTACTAAACATCAATCAAAAGCTCTTTTAAATTCTTCTTTCACTATAAAAAAAACCCACAACCAAAAATAATAGGATAATGCTGAAAAACAGTAACATTACAAGGGGAGTAACTCCGGTTTGGTTTGGTAAGCACTGAATGAAATAAACTACTATTGCTGTCTAAAAGAACAATTCTTCACACATAAATTGAAATTAACAACTCATAGCTAAACCTTTGTTTTAAAACTAAGTTATACTCCAGGGCACTGTATAGTTGGTCTTAGATAAGGGTACCAGACATTGTAAAATCTTACATGATATTGTCATACAAATTACTGCCACCTCCGTATGACTTCGGAATTTTGGGGAAAAATTTCCACATTCGCAGGAATCTGCAGCCTAATGGCAGTAATAATAACCAACTTCATGATTCCCTTAATCTCGTTGATTAAAGCAGGATCAGGCCACAGTCATTGTTCATATACCCTTACGAGAATTCAGACACTGTTGTTAGTGTTTTTTAGTTGATCGGGTACTTGTCTGTATACAAATGGGTACCAGGCTCAGGCTTGTAGCCAGTTTGTTGGCTGTGGAGGGCCATTGCGAGTCTGATGGGTACTTAAAGTCCTTTTATATAGCATTATAGCCGACAATGACCTTTTCAGCCATATGAACACCTATCTACAAACCAATCACGATTAGCTTGAAGTTTAAGATGTAATTAAAGTGGAAACGACTGCTTACCTATAGAGTGCCACACAATCAAATACACCTTTATAAAGAAGATAAGGATGTGTTATCGAACATTCTAATGCTTTAACTTCTGTAACCTCATTAAATATAGGCTGTATACTCCTCCAGAAAGCTTCAACATTAGGTTGTATCTGAATATCTGATTCTGATTCACCAGCTAATAACTGTTGTACACAGGCATGGAAATTTATACCTTTTCTTAGAGTTTCTGAAATGAATCAAATCACTCTTCTTCACAAAACATTAACAATTACTTGAAACACCCAGGGGAGTGGAACCATTCTAATAATCCTTTTAATTGCGGAAAAAAGGTTTCTATTTACAAATAAGCTCTCAATGGGCGGGGGGTAATCTGGATTTAACAATTTGCACCCCCACCCCACACACACCTGTATCATATGTGTAAACACCGAAGATTAGATGAATTTATCAAAATTAAATTAAAATAAAAAAAACAACAGAAAATTTAAAAAGCCCTTTGCATTATTTGTATATGAGCAAAGGCTGAACCACAAAGATCAACTCATTTAAGTTTTTACCAAAAAGTTTGTCCTGAGGGGTTTTCAAAAAGTGGAAGTGCTATGTCTTGCCTCTGGTAACTTTCATTGCCAGAGAGACATTTAACAGCTTAAAATAGCAATGTTGTTGTAATTATAAATTTATAAACCAATTCATTTATAACTTTTGCATATATAGTAAAACAAGCCAACAGTGAGGCTGATGTCCTCTGCCGAAATCCCAAAATAACGGTTTACTTCATAAAGTCTAATTATGGAATTAAAGGCAAATTACTTGAGCTAGTTTCAAATTATACATGTATATCAAATAGAAAACAACAAGTTATACTTGAAAACGGTCATTCTTGTATTACATATCCCAACGCTGGGGTCCCATAAGGTTCTGTACTTGGTCGGCTACTTTTTTTTAATCTATATACATGACATATATGAAGGTCTAATAACCACATCTAGATTATTTGCAGACGATATGTCACTTATTTCCACTAATATATCTATCAACAACATTGAAAATAACTTAAATTCAGATTTAGATATTTTGTATACATGGTCAAGGAAATGGTTGATAACTTTTAATCCTGAAAAAACATCCATACTTATATTTACAAATAAAAGCATTTGTTATCCATTAAATATTAAATTTCATAAAACCTTAATAGTTAGTTATTTTCATAAACATTTAGGGGTACTTTTTCAAAGTAGAATTTTCAAATTGATAATATGTTAAAGTAGCTAAGTCTCTAACTCAATATCACCCAAAGTCTTACACGTTGAAAACGCAAAAGATTTGTCAATTCAAATCAACATATAAGCTAAGACAAGATAATATACCGATTCCTTTTTGTAGACTGTCTTAAAAAACAATCTTTTTTTTCCAACAAACATTTTTGAATATAATAACTATCAACTAATAAAAAGAATGTCAATTCATATGTCAATTTCAAGAAATCTATTTCCATTAAATATCCAACACCACAAGACAGAAACACTGGCAGTGGCATACATAAACTAACAATTCTTCATAACCGACTCCGTCATTCATCAAGTAGCCTTAATAATGACCTATTTCCATCAAAAATTATTGACACTCCGCTATGTTCTTGTAATATGTAAGTAGAAAATATATACCATTACTTTTTTACAAGTCCCTTTTATACAGTTCAAATTCAAATTTTACCCCCTACAAAATCTTTGTGGAATTCTGCTTACATATACCAAGCTTCATTAAAATTAGAATACAGAATCGATTGCGTATACCGTGCTAATGTCTGATATTAAATATCTTGATAATGTTCCTTTTGACAAATTATTAAATATCTTACTAAATGGGAGTCCTGTTTTACCCAGCGTTTTCAACAAGAAAATATTTCTTGCAGTTCAACATTATATTTTCAGCACAAAATGTTTTAATAGCAAATTATAACTCTGGTTTTTTTTTTATTGATTAATATTTATCATTTTGTTTAGATACTTAATAATAATGAACTTATATTAGATTCATAAATTGATTAAAATAACAATGATTTAAAGTAGCTAAATCTCTAACTCAATATCATCCAAAGTCTTTGACATTGAAAACACAAATTATTTGTCAATTTAAATCAACATTGATGTTGTCATCTTACTGGGAAAAGATGGGATTCTGATATCCAATATTTAAGACAAAATAAACATTTCACAGCGTTTTAGCATCAATTGTAACAAGGGACACGAAGAACAAGGCTAGGCATATTACACAAGTCATTTCAAATGGTAACGTCATATTCTTATCTGGAGCGCATGCGCAATAAATACTATTGGTGAAGACTGGAATAACCAAACCCTAGAGATTGCCATTCGATCAAGACTTCTGGCATATTTCGCCGAATATAACTGATTAGAAATTACAGTAAAAACAGAAACGATTGAATGTAAATCAGTTTATATACACTCATATTACATTATTATATGTGTTGCGACCCATTTGTGTCAATTTCTAGATCCCAAATATTAGCGACTTAGCTCCTTTAACTTTGGTTATTTTATATCAAAACTATGTAAACACAATAAATAGGAAATTAAATATACGTGTATATATTGTAAAGTTTGTTAAATGTTTGTTTTGCCATCAACATATTATATTATTTATACATATAATCACTGGGAAAATGTTCATAATTTCTATAAATTGTCCTAATCCCTTTACATAAACCAATCTTCATTAAAATTAGAATTCAGACACGATCGTGTATACATGTGCACATGCAAGTGCAGGCTAATGACTGGACAAAAGAGTAGGGGTAATAACAATAAACATGTACATCCAGGTTAAATGTGGATGTAAAAAAAATGCATTATGAAATTCTACCTTCTTGATGTTGCTTGAAGCCCTCTTCACCCATTTCCTCTATCATCTTTTTCTTCCATCTCTCCAAGAAGTAGCGATTCTTTGCGGACATTGTTTTGTTTAAGATTTTGCTGACCGATGGGGGATATTGAAGACAAAATTTGTCCACTTCTGTATTAAACCTTTCAAATTCTACACTCCCCTCAGGCGTGTTAGGAATCAAGGGATAATTAAGGACAAAGTTCAGTGGGTCATTTGGATCAATCACCTTTGGTAATATACCTTCTTTTTTAGAGTTTAGTGCTTTGTTAATTTCTTTGTATGATTTAATTCCTGGGTCCACTTGTATGCTCAATAATGAGTTGAAAACAGAATTTCTTTGATTTTCAGATCTACAGTTTGAGTTTGCATTTACATTAAGATAGCTATTATCGATTAGGATACCTTCATCATAGTGATTTTTCGAAGACATATCTACATCTTGGAGACTTTCACCAATAATTCCTAAGCTGGCTACCTTCTTATTTATTTTTGTTGTTTTTCTAGATTTTGTACCTACTTTGTTTTTCGATTCAATTTTTGGCCCATATAAGGAGTTAAGTTCTTTGTCCATAAATATAAGCTTGGCTAAATCACTCCTTGATGGTTTGGATGTTTTAAAGCGTATAGGTAAAGTCTTCATGCAGAGCAAACAAACTGGTTTCAGTGATACACATTGTAAAATCCTTTGATTAATAGTTCTTGTTAGGTTCATATTGCACATTAAGTTTCAATAAAATTAATCAAAACTGTTTGGAGACTAAATGCATCCTGGATGTCCTTTTACTGTATAATGAAAGAAAATTCAAACATAGTTAAATTATTGTTAGCTCAGTTTCATCGACATTTAATAACTCATAATATAGATCATACTTTATTAATTCATAATAATACGAACACATAAGTTAAGTTCTCAATACACTGTAGATGGTTTTATTTTCAACTCAAGTTATAGAAATGGCGTGAGAATGTCACATGATTGCTATTGTTGACAGAAGGGAAGCTATCGCTTTGATGTCGTATCATTATGGCATGAACCATTCTGACATCTATTAAAGATATACACAGGTGCCAATCAATTTAGGGAATTATATCATAATTAACATTTAATATTATAATAAAAACTGATAATCTCACACCAAAAAATAAAGTTCACAATAATAGTGTGTATTTTTGACTGTGTAGGAAGTGTGACACAATTATTCCTTCAAATAGTACCAGGCATTTCCTAAACTAACAATGACATACATCTACATCGATTATCATGACATTCAGGGCATGAGTGTTTTTCAGGGAATCCAGTATTTTTCTAGTAAGATTTGATGTTTCTATTTTCCATATATACCAAAATTGCCATACCTTTATTGGAAATAACCACCCGATAAATACTTTTGTGGAAAAGTATCTTTAATGCTCTGCTGGCCCTAAGGCACATTTTGATAGGTGGCCCGAAAACACAGATATGTTGGGCTCATTGTCAAAAGGAATTAAGTTAAATTTAGCAACAGAAAATTTATTATAAACAAATTCAGAACATTGACAGTACTGTATTTACTATAAGTAGCCTACATATTCCCATTCACTCCCTAGCTAGATTACGACAAACGCATAGATCAAAAAGGATGCAATTTATTTACATAAAAATAAAGGCAAGCATTTTTGTCACCACCTGATAATTATCAAAAAAGTTTTACTTCATTATTTTGTGACCTGGATTTTTGGCTGGCCCTAAGGCACGTGCCTTATTTGCCTTATGGTTAATCCAGCACTGATTTCCTCTAACATGGAGTGCAGATTCAAGGATAGAATTTATGACTTCACTGGGTATTTATTTTCTGCAGGCTGCTGAATTTTGACAGAGTAACACTATGGACCTTAATGGTAACACCTAATCCTTCGGTAAAGACAAGAGATGCTAACTAAGTTTACTAAGTTACTTTGGTCAGAACCACCATGGTTTCCTTCCGTTACTGATTAAGTGCAGAAGCTACGTGATCAAAGTAGAACAATGTCTTCCTTTACCTTACAATCATTACCGCATATTTGACAACCCGAGACTCTGGAGTCTGGTGATATTCAGCTTTGAAAAATGTAAATATAACTCACGTGGTGTTGTTACTGTTACTGTGCTAAATGCTAAGACCAACTTAATTTTTCTTCACAGGGCTAGTGCTAATCCCAACCCTAAACCTAACCTTGGACCTAGCCCCAATGCTTACCCTAACCCTCACCTACAATCTCGCCAATCACGTGCCCTAACCTTATTTACATCTCAGCGACCTTGACAAAAATTGAACTGGCCTTAACAAATAGATTTAGCCTTAAACTTAACCCTAACTTTAGTTTCGCATTTACAGTTACAGCTTTCGGACATCAACATTGCATTATACTGTAATTATATTTTATTATTTTAATTATATGTAAGCTTACCGGATTCTACACATCTAAATTTTAACAATCCGAATATCTTTTATTAAATGAAAAATATAAAAAAAAGTATCAAATTCTATCTGCGGCTGTTTCACTAATAACAAATTCAAGATGTCTGCGCCCAGCAAGAAGAAGAAAACAATATCCAAAGACGAACTTCGCCGGTTAATGAAACAAACTAAATCTAGTTCTAAAAAGGAAATAAAACGCATAGAACATCAATATGCAAAGTATCCTTTTCGTTGCAAGCAAAAGTAGTTAGTCGCTGTGTTTAGCTCTCACCTATACCGTACTAGTGACTAGTAGATAAGTAGTCTGAATGTCTGAATTAGAAAAAGTTAACGTTCAACACAGACGATTTAAGAGGTCTAAGTTTTGGTTGATAATGGTAGTCTTTATATGGTTCTGCATGGCATATGCATGAATTTAACATGATTTGACTATACCAGTGTATTGTACCATGGATGTAGATGTGGTATTCTTTGTGTTCGTATATCTGGGGATGCCTAAGCTAGGGCTAGATTATTCTGTAATATTGAGTCTCAAGTTTAAATATGCTTTCTTCTGTCTTGGTCATGGGGCATTCCTTTTGGCTCTCTTGGTAATGTTGTATGGATTCCAAGCCTGCGGTCATGGGTTAGATTCCCGACAGGTGCATCCAGTCCAATACTATTTAATTGAGTGCAGAATTTGATAAATTCTGTTGAGCCATTTTCAAGGCACCTGTTTAAAGTTTGTAGTCAATATTGCAATTGTCTATTGGATGATATGGCTTTGATGTTAGTTGCCAATCAGCAGACTTATCAAAATAATTTTCATTTATGCCTTGAGATATTACTATTTTAACTATAAATGACTTATTTTATCAAATACATAATTAATTATATGTGATGTGGAGGTGAGGGGAATAAAGTCTGCTTCAAAAATAAATTGGTATTGCAAAAAAGCAAAGTGGATGGGTAATATATTAAGACTATTTTTCTAATTGTATGATTTATAAACTTATTCGAATTCCTTGACAACCTGTTCAGATATAATAGCCTGGGTCAGTTGTTATGTACTTTATGTGGAACAAATATCAAAAGTGAATTAATATGGCCTACCCACTTGCAAAGTAAATCTCATAAAGAGGTACACGTAATATTTATTGTCAATATAGGTTCACTGTTATCTTTTTATTTGTGGAATACATTGCAGACTTTACAGTTTATGACCATGGTTATGTGTGTATTGTGTAAAAAAAGTATATTTGTAACTTTTCTGTTTGACCTGTCATTAATAAATAATAATAGTACTTCATAAAACATACAGTGGTGCTGACATACAATTAACTTGTATGTAATTTAGATCTGAACCCAACATTAACCATTTACTCATGTCATTGTTACAATGTCAGTATTATATTATGTCTGTGAACTTTAGATATTTTATTCTGTTTACATAGGCCTACTTCCAATGATTTTAAAATTTGTACACTATAACGACAATTGCCATCATCTTACCTACTTGAAATAGAAATGTTTTCACTTCTGTTTACCTGAAGAATCAGTGTGACAGCATTTGTTGATGACTTAGACAATTTAACTGCTGTAAGTGAAGCAGGAAGGATGGCCTTGTAGACGAAACAACAAGGCTCTGTGTACACCTTAGCGTGCACATAAAAGGAGCTGTGACAGTTAGAATTTGAAACAAGAGTAGGCCTTAGTGCTGCTTTCAGGGCAAAATTCCTCAGTCATAGCACACTATATGGCATATGAACGTCTTCATTAGCCCAGATGGAGCAGGAAAGTATGATGTTAAACACCATATCATTTCATTCCTTAATTTCCAATACATGTGTATGTCTCTTAATCTAAATAAAACCATTTTGTCTTCAACAGTTTGTTATAATATCTAAATCTAAGACCAATTCTATAAAACGACCTATAGCAGAATCGGCTGATGAACCACATTCCAAAAAATCTAAAGGTATTTTGAATTTTGTTTTATTTTGCTTGCTTGATAGAAAATATTTGATCATCATCTTTATTTGCCACACAGAATTAATATTTTCACATGACATGGTATGTTAGGATACCACTATTCATTTATTTTGAAGGTTGGAATAGCAACAATTTCCACTGTATTTTGTATTTAAACAAATAGATTTGTGACTCTTATTGTGGAAATTGTCCCAACTGGTTATTACCATCTACTGAAGTAACTTTAACATATAAAATCAGAACCTTATATTAGCTCTAATGAAGGGTGTCATGCTAAAAGGCAGGGTAGTCTTTCTATAACACCTGATACCACTTCTTGTTTAGTTTGGAAGTTAATTTTTGTATTCAGTATTTGTTATGTATTTGCATGTACTGTTTTGTAAAGAATAGACCACAGAAAAATCTGTCCCTAGTAAGTAATCTGTTTGTTAGATGTCATTTGGAAAAGAGAAAAATATAACTATGGGTACATGTACTAAATTTCAATAAATTCTAATTTGTTGACAGATTCGAAAGGCAGTAAAAGTACATCATCAGGGTAAGTTAAATTAACACATTTTTATGCATGTATAAAGGATAAAAGGAATTTAGATCAATATATTCTATTAATAGTTCAGTACCGTACCCAAAATAATGTTTAGGGTTGATTTTATTATATTCTAACATGTTAATGTGGACACATAGCCACAGCCCCCATCTTCCTAGCCACACTTTCTTGTACTTAAGCAGAATTCAAAATTTCAATAATTGAGATTTGGATCGCTTTTGCATTTTGTTATTTGTTTTAGGTTACCTCCAGATTTTTTTGATAATAAAGCAGCCAAAACCAATCACCAGAATAGCACTGCATTAGCTGCTTATTCTTCTTCTGAAGATGAAGATGAAAAACCACCACAGAAAACACCTTCTCTGCCTTCTGGTTTACCAACAGGTAAAGTATTTTTTTAAACAAAACATTCTTGGTTTTGCATAAGTCTACTGTTACTGGAAATTTTAGCTGATACTAAATTGTTTATTAGATCATTTCTATGATTTCATCATTGGTTCTCTATGTATTGTCATCACTGACTATATTATATGTAATATCCTTATTGTTTTATAAACTATGATTTCATGCTCACCCAATTTAGTCATAAGTAGTGACATGTTCTTCGTGACCTATTAATTTAAGAGTTCACATAGCCACTTTAGTATTTGTGAGAAAAGCATATCAAGGGTAATATTCTATCTATTCCATCAGATTTTTTTGATTCTGCACAAATGACAGAGGCAGCAGAGATAGAAGAACCAAAGAAGATATCTGATGTATTACCAGAAGGCTTTTTTGATGATCCTAAAATGGATGCTAAGGTCTGTTGGTAATCTTTGTTCAATATAACCAGATTATAAAAGGGTTTGTGATTCAGTAAACATAATCTTTTCATGTAAAATTGTCACAGTATGATATTTGATAAGTGAATTTTACAGAAAACCGATCTTTTGTTACATCTCAAGTTTGGATTAAGCCGCTGATCGTCATTGCACTCTCAACTGGTTCAGCCACGGCATATATATTTTGGCTGTTGTCAGTTGCCGAATACGAACTCATGCTCTCTTCATGCTTTATTAATTTTAGGTTAGAAAAGTAGAATATAAAGATAAAATGGAAGAAGAATGGGAAATGTTTCAAAAGTCTATGAAGGAGGAAGCTCATGTAAGTTATCTACATATTCTGTTTCCTATAAGGTGGATTTTCGTGTAAAAATTTCAGCATTTGACAATTGTCTTCCTGAAATATAATATACATATCTATTAGTCATTTGATTTGTCTATGCTTTGGAACACAATAACTTTGATTCTAATTGAGTGAGAGTGATGAAACTTTGTGCATAGTTTCATGACATTACAACATGAATACCTTGACTTAAAGACTATGAGAGTGATATTAGCTCTATAGAATCACTTGCAAACAACAATATTGTGAATATCAGTCCAACATGATTCAATTCCATTCAGTATTTACAAAGATATGAAAAATTAAAAATTCCATCTATCTCTGCGCTGCCTATATGACCTCACCGCCATCTGTATTTAGCATGAACCAAATTGACGGACCTGTTTTAAATCCAATTGAATCCTAGATGGGAGATTATATAGCGTTGGTACTTTAATTTTGTTTTCTTAATTAAATGTTAAATAATCAATCTGAGTACATATTAGTGTGGATTAGCGTGAGAAATTTGATATTTTCAGAAAAATGCAAATCACACAGTATTGCTTTAAAGGGACTAAATCTCTAACTCAATATTTTCCATAATATTTTTTGAAATTAAAAACAAAAATTAGAATTCAATATTAGTCCATTTCAATGAATAGTGATGTTGTTATCTTGCTGTGAAAATATGGGATTATAATATCCAATATTTAAGACACAATAAACATTTTAAAATCAGTACATAAGTGGTGTATTCAATGGTTTTGGGCGCAATTTGTAATGAACGCAGATAAAAATATCCTACAAAACAATACAGAAGTAATTAGTAATAGCTGTTTCACAAACAACAAAATAATAATAATAATAAAAAAAGGTGTAAAATGGACTAAACAAGTGTAAATGATTGCCGTTTAATATGGACTATTCACATATTTCATTGAACATTGTTAATGAGAAATTACTGTACAATAAAATTTAATATGTCGCTTTACATATATTCATATTACATTAATATGTGCCTTTATTTAGACCAATTTTCGTCTATTTCAAGTTTCCAAAGAATAGTGCAATGCGCCCTTTAAGTTTGATAATGAGAATTTCTACTCAGGTTAAAGGAGCTAAACCTCTAACTCAATATTTTCTAAATTAAAAACCTGAAATAAAATTAAATATTGGTCCATTTCAATCAATATTGATGTTGTTATCTTGTCGCGAAAATATGTGATCCAAATATCCAATATTTAAGACACAATAAACATTTTATATTCAGTACACAAGTCGTGTATTCTATGGTTTCGGATGCCATTTGTAATAAAAAAAGAAAAATTAATCCTACCAAGACAATACGGAATTTATTAGTAATGGCCGATTCACAAACGACAAATAATAACAAAAACATGTGTAGAATGGACTAAGCAGGCATAAACGACTGTGGTTCAATATGGACTGTTCACACATTTCACTGAACATAATTGATTAGAAATTACAATAGATTTTTTAATAATTGAATATAAATTGCTTTACATTAATATTGGCTTTAGTCCCATTTTTGTTTATTTTAAGGTTCAAAAGAATAGTGTCATACACCCTTTAAGCAGTGTGAAAAGCAATTTGATTGTTTGATGCTTAAAGATCAATGTGTTAGTAATAAATGAATGTGATCTATTTTATTTTTGTGTTGGGGGGTGGGGGGGGGATTAAGACTTTGTTTCTTTCATCTATATTCTATTTATTTATACATTGTTTAATTGTTTAAGGTATCTGAGGTAATTGTAGAAGAAGATGATGAACTGGCTAATTTTGATAGAAATATTGATGAAATAGATGAACAAATGTAAGTTAAATATACATCAATAACAAGGTGGATTCTTGTAATATAGAATATATTACAATGTAATGACCTGCATCAGTGATAATACTTAATCCCACTTATATTACCGGTACGTAGAAATTTCATTTGGGTTGATCTAACAAGATGGAAAAACCTGCTAGACAACCAGACTGAGATTAGTCGCAGTTTTGACATACAAACTGTGTGATTTGATGATATATTTGGACTAAAAACATATTCAAACTAATTAATCTATAAAAAGTTTGCTTCAAATCCCTGTCAAAAGTTATATTCGCGAGGAGATACTCCAAGCTATAAAAATTATATTTTTAGGAGCCTAATGGTTAGCAAGTGCGCACTGTGTCATAAGGTCTGTCATTGAGTCAACTGGCGTGGTTTTGATTCCCCAGTTGTACGTGAAAAGGAGTAGGGTAGCCTGTCCAACCTCTTGGGTTTTCTCCGGGTTCTCCAACTGCAAGCGAATTCTTGAAATCAAATTGAACCATGTTTTAGTCCCAAAATGACCTAGTTTGTGTTGAGTGGACGTTAAACCCCATGTCTCTCTCTCTCTTGCCCCATGGGTGTTTTGGGGTAATCCTGTATTTTTCTAGTAAGATTGGACATCTATACTTTCCATATATACAAAATTTGACATACTTTTATTGGAAATAACTACCCGATATATACTTTCATGAGAACGTATCTTTAAATGTCATAAAATAACTGTCCCCAGTAGCATATTATATGTGAACGTAGTGAGTTTACAAATCTTTTGCTAACTTTAGGGTGTTTATGTAAATCATTGAAATTAAAACATGCCATATTCTAATTCCAGACAAAAATTACAAGAAGTTAATGATCTACAAAATAAAAAAGAAGCAATTATGAAATGTGTAAAAGATGTGAAAAATAATGACAATAGTTCCGATGAACTTGATGAAGACGATATTAATGACTTTTTTGATTGGAGGTCAAAAAAATCATGGAAGTGAAACTTGTATAATACCTCCAATGGGATTTTTTAGTAAAATAATAACTGAATATGGTGCATTGCTCACATGGCACTACAAGTTAGCTGTCTGGTCATACAACATGTGAAATGAGGATTGGTTTCTATAAAATGTGGATAATAAACTACTCAAAGTGAAGACGAAATAGATGAAAAGTGAAAGAATAAAAATTAAAGTTCGAATTGGTTGTTTGAAATCTCAGTAATGACTGTTAAGTTTGTTATCTTATGTAAATATGAATGAAATTTCGACACATAAAAATATAATTATATTTTGAACTGATGTTGATTCAGATGTTGTTTTTGGCTCAATTGATCAGTTTTGTGGTCTTAGGGGAGATAATATGGAGTTAAGGTCCAAATGAACATTTGTCTCCCCTTGCCTACAAATAAATATCAATTGTTTTGTCCAGGCATTAATATATATTTTTATACGCCCACATTTTCATGTGGACGTATTATGCCGTCGCCCCTGTCCGTCCGTCCACAATTGTTTGTGGACTGTCTACAGGTCACAAATCTTATCCGATTTCGACGAAACTTGAAATATAGGTTTATCCCCAAAAGATCTCGGCTGCTTTCGATATTGGCATGTATCGGATCGAAACTTCATGGATTATGGCCCCTGTTTGTACGAAAAATCACGTTTTTAGCTTGTGGACCCTATACAGGTCACAATTTTTGTCCGATTTTGTTGAAACTTGAAATGTAAGTTTATAACCCAAAGATCTCGGTTCCTTTCGATATTCGTGCATATCGGACCGTAACTTCCTGAATTATGGCCCCTGATTGTACGAAAAATCACGTTTTTAGCTTGTGGACCCTATAGAAGTCATAATTTTTATACGATTTAAAAAACCGTTCTATTATATCACCGTTACACCCTAAGGATGACTGAATTCAAATTTCGTGAAAATCGGCCCAAAATTGACAGACAAAATGGCCGCCATTCGTGCCCAAAAATCGTAAGAATATGGTATATCAAGGTTGTGGACCCTATAGGGGTCACAATTTTTATCTGATTTTGTTGAAACTTGAAATGTAAGTTTATAACCCAAAGATCTCGGTTTCCTTCGATATTCGTGCATATCGGATCGTAACTTCCTGAATTATGACCCCTGATTGTACGAAAAATCACTTTTTTAGCTTATGGACCCTATAGAAGTCATAATTTTTACCCGATTTAAAAAAACATATTATTATATCACCATTATACCCTAGGGACGACTGAATTCGAATTTCGTGAAAATCGGCCCAAAATGGCCGTCGTTCGTTCTCAAATCGCGCAAGAAAATGGTATATCAAGGTTGTGGACCCTATAGAGGTCACAATTTTTATCCGATTTTGTTGAAACTTGAAATGTAAGTCTATAACCCAAAGATCTCGGTTCCTTTCGATATTCGCCCATATCGGACCGTAACTTCCTGAATTATGGCCCCTGATTGTACGAAAAATCATGTTTTTAGCTTGTGGACCCATTAGAGGTCATAATTTTTATCCGATTTAAAAAACCGTATTATTATATTACCGTTCCACCCTAAGGACAGTTGAGTTTGAATTTTGTGAAAATCGCCCCAAAATTGACAGACAAAATGGCCGCCGTTCGTTCTCAAATAGCGTAAAAATATGGTATATCACGGTTGTGGACCCTATAGAGGTCACAATTTTGAAATGTAAGTTTATAACACAAAGATCTCAGTTCCTTTCGATATATGCGCATATCGAATTGTAATTTCCTGAATTATGGCCCTTGATTGTAGGAAAAATCACTTTCTTGTTAGCTTGTTCTCTATCCATCTCTCGAAAATGTGGGCGTATCCTGCCTGGCAGCCGCTGGTTCTAGTTCATTCATCCCTTTATCTCAATCTTACATCCATGAGGATAATAGTAGAGCAAGAAGCAGAGGGTTTTCCTCTACTAGATAGGTAGTTATGATACCATAATACAATGCTGAAAACTTTCATATGAGGAGGACATTTTCATTTGAAAAATAATATTGTGTGACAGCTCTTCGATATGTGTATCTGCTACTATTTTCATCTCTTCACTGTTAGAATTCAGAAAGACATAAGAGTCCCACAGTGCAGAGCAGATTTTTATACTTCTTCAATGTATTGGCGCCTTCAAGCTGGAAAAATGTTATGCTATAAGAGAACCTGGGGTTTGAGCAATGACAGACAACAAAAAATGAATATAGTCCAACACCATTGGTTAGTCACTTTTTTTACATGAATAATATTCCTTTTAATAAATTTGTGGATTAGGAAACAAGCAAAGCCTATACAGACACCTCTCTGTGGTGCTAGATACACTCCATTTATCAATCATTTTTGAGATAAGTAAACACATTACATTCTTACTTCTGAAGTTTTTATTTCTTATACTGATATCTTATCCATCTAAATGTTGTAATACTAGTACACAAAATTTAAAGGGCGACAACTATGTCACATATACATACTCATTCATACAGGGTCTTACAAATTAGGGTGGGTGTATTCGAAACACAATAATGATCACACATAAAACGTTTCCATGTTGACTGACAAACAGCAATACATAATATCGAAATAATTATCATAATGAATATTTGATCAAAAAAAATTTGTCCACTGATGGTAAGTCATCTTTATTCTCAGAAAGATGTTATATTTGGATATTTCTCTGTGACAGCATTTAACAACAGATGATAGATAAAACACATACTTCAAAAAGAAAGAAAATACAAGAGTTTGTAAATCAAATTAAAACCTAACTAAACCAACACTTTGAATTATTATTCACTTTTTGAAAGTACTTGATTTTCACTAGTTGTTTGACCAGGTTTATTAGAAAACTGATTTGAAAGAAAATAGTACCATCTAAATGGGAATATATTAAACTGTAAATAATTAAAGTAAATTATATATGATTTTCACATAAGATATTCAACAGGTGTCAGTTTGGCTAGATTTATTAGAAAATTGATTCAAAAGAAAATAGTATAATTTGAAAGGGATTATAATAATTTAGAAGTAAATTAAGCAAGGTCACATTGACAATTACCATCACAAAATAAGAATTGTCCGACACAGAGAAATAATTTTTCCAACAAAATTTGTGTGGCATCAAAATAACTAAAAAATTAACAAAGGGCCAATCATGATTTCCTTTCTGGAATCACTATGCCATAAACCTCTTAACAACTCTGTAACATATTTACATTAACATAATTTAAATAAATTAAATAACAACATTATATAGATCTAGTCATAGTTTTTACATACAAACAAAAGAATAACAATGGTTCCAAAATAAAGATGGCTACAATTAATAGATAGATCTTAAAACAAAACAATTATTTTAGCTAGCATTTGTTAGCTTCAAAACGAATCCTATTAACAGTAGCTGTTGAACTTTTATAGGATAGGTAGAATGTATAGTATAGGTAGCATATAATATCAAACAATTTCTTCACAGATAATACTTTACTGCATAGAGAGCCCAAAACAATTATGTGTACAACTGTACATCAATGTACAGATAATTGTGAACAGGCAATATTTGCTCTAGTGGAACAGCTAGCCTATCATAACTAGATAGTTTCAAAATTCTGTTGTCTTTCTCAAAAATTCTGTTATGGACATCTGTGCACATATGATAAATTCTTAAGTTTATTGTAAAAAATTTTTTATAGATATGTCCATCTTTGAGAATTATAGATAGGGTGTGTTGAGGTAGAGGTACATGTAGATGAAGGTCTAGTGGGTGTGGCAATAGGTGTAACACTTTTAGGTACAACTTGAAAGCTCTCATCAGTAGTGGTGCTAAGATCATTTTCTTTACCTTCACAGAAAGACATGTCTTCTTCAAATTGAAAATCCTGTGTTTTCTGCATGTCTTTCAAATACAGTTTAGCTTTGTCTCTAAAAATAGAGAGATAATATAACTTATATATCATCAGATATTTTCTTTTAAATAATGATAAATGGTATCTGATCTTCCAGAGTGAATACATACTCTGCCCTCTTCTGCACACCATATTTATAGTTAAATCAAGCAAAGTCAAAAACAACCCTAACAACAATTGGGACAAATAGTTCTCATAAGAAGAGTGCTTGTGAATCCATAAAATATTATTTTAATTTTTTAAGATGATAAAATAATATGCCATGTCTGTTTACTCTTCTAGTGGGTATTTCAGATCGGCCAAAAGATTAACCTATCTGCTGCTGAAATATATTATCTAACTAACTTGTAGGGTTGTTGACATTCACTAGACATACTTCGCCAAGTCTGACCCATCATTTTACTTATATGAGAGGTATGAACACCAGGATTGGCACTATAAAATAGATAATAATTTTCATTAGGATCATACAATTATTATTAAATTACATTTAATCTGATTGATTTGTATTTATTGTGTATTGATCTGTAATATCACTTGTGTTGACTCCAATCTGACAGACCCATACATAGGACACTTTATCCATCAGAGGTAGTTCACCATACAAGCATTCAATTAATCAGATTTCAGCATTCCCATCATGTGTTTGGTAGAACTAGACTAATATATTAGCTATACATGTTTGGTTGAAATTTGAATTTATTTGAATATTTTCAGTCAATTGTATAGCTTCAATATGATGCTTCAGTCGTTATTACAAACATAGTGTAAATATCCAGAAAATGGTGAAGATTTATCAATATTTTTTCATTAACACAAACTAAATGGGGTTAAACCTACTTTTCTACAGAGCTAATAAAATAAAATGACCATACAGTGGCTAGAAAAGGAATGTTAGAAAAAGGTAATATGGTACTCAATATATGAAAATCAAGATATTTAAACTATATGATACGTACGTTATAAACTGTCTACGATTGAGTCGACTGTACATCATAAATCCATTCATCCATGATGTCTTTCTGTGATCAACTTTCTGTGGCTTTAAATACATCTCTCTATAGGTAGGACTGAATGGGAAAAAACAATAATTTTACTTTTAGTTATTTTGATTCAGAGATAAATACCACATAAATATTCCCATCCACCCATATTTTGTAATTTTTTTGATAACCAATGTGATGCACAATAGTATCGATTATTTGATGGTATATACTATATCATATACAAATTACTTACTTCTGTTTATACTTTGGAGTTTTATTTTTTTCTATGTCCGACTTTGTACTATGGACCAGTTTACTGATAGGTTCATTCATTGAGTGAAATGTCCAAGTATAGGGTACTGTACGAATAACAACTTGTTCCTCTGTCTTTTCTAAACAAACAGAAATACATACATACATACATACACAGTTTGTTATTTACTGGCAATAGCTGATTGGCCAAAAGTAGAGTTGGACCATATTTGAAATTTTCATTATTGCGATAAAGATGATAACGATATAAAAATCCACAATATATTGCCATTATTGCAATATCATAGTGCTTTGAGCAAGGAAACTTGAAATAAGATGGTGAACCTATCACAATAAATTCTCTGAGAAGCAAGTAAATTTGAATTATTGTACGTTCATGCTTATGCTATTTTTCAATAAAATAATAATTCAGAGGATATTATTAGGGAAAAGAAGATAAATTCAAACAATATATTGGATTATTATGTTATCTTGAAAGTAAAAAATATTGTCAATAAACTTTACATATTGCAATGTATTGAAATTATTGTCCAACCCTTGTTATGACACAAGATTTTTGCATTAGTACAGTAGTGTTGAATGTGGATTTATCAAGTATAAATTCATATATATGACAGATCTGATTTACAATGTTTCAATAAAATAGAGTGATCTTTCACAGAATATTATTGAAAAAATAGCAATAGTCTCGGGTCAAACATTGGGTTATTTTTAACAGTCAAAAAATTATTGTGAATAAAATTTACATATTGCAATATATTGATTCATTGAAATTATTGTCCAGCCCTAGCCAAAAGTTACTCTAAGTCTCTACTGTATTGATCTTGGCCATAAAAGTACTATTTATTTGATTATAGAAATCTTTTTTAGTAAATAAATTTGTCCAAAATCAGGTTTAAATTAATGTTAAATCTATCTTTACCTTCACCTTTTGAAACACAAATCTTATTAGGCATGGAATCAGAAATAGTAATAGTTGCATGTACTGCTGGTTCACTGATCTCATCACTAGAAAATGGTGAGGAATTGTTGGTCATGTTCTCTAATGGCTGGCGTTTAGAAGGAGTATACTGTTTGCGTTTATTTTTTTGAGGAGACCAAACACTGTTATTAATAAAGACTGATTCGTTCATGTCCAGATCCATTTCAATTTCATCCATGGTGTTAGGTATATGTATCATATCGTCTTGGATTGATAATATTTTAACTGGAGATATGGCTACATGCTCTTTATGTTCTGATAAATATTTTGTAGGTGATATCGCAAAGGTGTCCGTGTCGTTAGGTAATATCTCTATAATGTCTGGATTGGATGGTAAAATTTTATTAGGTGAAACAGCTATGGTATTCATCAAATCATGATCATTTTCTAATAAACCGTGGAATTGTAATCCAAAGGTGTCATTCATATTATCTCCCTGAAAGTCAATGAGAAAACTAACAGGTACAATAACATCTGTTAATGTTGCTACGATTTTAATTGGACAGCACTAAGGTTTAAACAAACAATCCAGCCTAACTGCTTAAAAATGCATAGAGCATGACAAACAGTGTATGAATACTGCACACATAACCAAAATATCATGGTTAAATACACTCCCAAAGTAGTATCGACAGAAGTTCCATAAAGAAAAACCTTAGCTATCCTTATATAAACAACACTGAGTTGTCATCAGTTGTCAACAAGGCCAAAATTGGTTAGACTATAACAATTCTCATAGATAACACACTTTTATATTTATGTTTGAATTTGTGTAAAAAAATAAGTTATACCCACCAAATAATCTGGACTATCCTCATTACTGAAAGCTATACAGGGACTAGGAAACAATGATAAAGACTCCTGTAATGAGGTATTACTCTGACTAGATATATCAATAGGTGTGGAACCATCATTCTGAAATATAAAGTAAGAAAACAGGTAGAATATGGCAAGAAAATTATGGGAGGAAACAACTACATCATAAATGGAGGAGGGATATACTGGCCCATTTTGTGGTGTATTTAATCTCAGTAATTTTGTTTGTTACAATTATAAATCTTTACTGGACTCAATGGTGTACTTTTTTCACATCTATGTAATTATGTATGGTTTATACGTTGATATTGCATGGGGCAATAATACACAATGTCTTGCTCCAGACCAATAAAAAACTTAAAACACAGACACAATCCCATACCTACATTTCAATATTTCATCTTGTATAAATAACAACAATGTCACATCTGTATTTTAATAGCTGATAAAGACAAAGAGCACATAACCAACACTTCATGAAACACTACACACACTATCAGTACCGGTATGGTAAATATACTTACAATAAATGATTCTGAAGGAATAGTACAGAAGTCAGGTGAAGAGTCTTGAATAATTGAATCAAAAAAGCCAAATTCATCTGAAATATTATTTTTACAAAAAATTGAACATCTATTATTTCAAATAACCTAATTATTAAATACATAGTAAAAAATCTGTAGCTACTTTACCACATGTTCAGTATAAAATTAAATTGAAATTATTGAAAGAAATATGCCAAGAAATTTTCAAGACAATGAAATCGGAAACATATATATATGCCCAGTCCCATGGTAGTTCATTCATAACGGTGGTCGCATTTTCATTCTTTCATAGGTGACTATAGTATTTATTTGCCAACACTAAAAAGTCAATCAGTTTATTGATTTAGCGGCTAGAGCATCCGCAAGGAATTATTGGTGATAGTTGGAGAGATAGTTGACAACAAGTTGTCAACAATATATGACCACATTTAAATGTGTGTATGAACATTTTGTTACATTCATGAGGGGCATCAAGAAGTGTTATCAATTCAAAGAACAATAAGGACTAATTTTTTTACCCCCATTTGGTGGAATCATAGATTCATCAACAAGCCATGGTGCAAGAGAAGAATCATTAGCCATATAAGGTAAGAAAGTTGAGGATGGTGCCATAGAGTCTTGAGATGATTCCAGACTATTAGGATAAAGGTCTTGAATATCTGGTACTATTCTATCTGTTGTAGAGTCTATTGTAGGTGATGACAGTTTATATCTTCGATCTATTAAACTTTCTGGTAAACATGTCTACAAAAGAAATTCCTTTTTTACATATAATACCATTCATTATTTAAACACAAAAAAATATTTTAAAACGATTTTAAATGAAAAATGTATTGAATGGAATTCAGATTTCTGTTAAGTATTCTATCAAAATTTCTTCTCAAAGAAATCACAATTTCTTACTAAGATTAAAGTTTAAAGATGCATTGTGTAAGATTTAAATAAAGAGCTGGCTGTTCTTGCTTTAGTTCAAAATTAGACTTGAAAAATGAATATATTATATTGAAAATTTTACTCAAATGATCAGGCTTTGAAGTTTTTCCAATATAGTGTCTATTGTCAAGTACTATTGTTATGATATAACACAAAGTCTTGATTATCCATTTTTCAATTAAATTATTCAATGGCAATTATGTTTCAATCCAGAGTTGATTATGGGCTTGTCATGTGAATAATGTTTACCAAATATCAAGAGTTTCAAACCATACAAGATAAAAAGTACTTATATTAAGAAATGTTTTGGTCCAAAAAGTATTCAAATCATAAGCTCTGACTTAAGTTATATGAATTATAGCCATTTTACAATGATTTCAAACTGCTAATTTATGTCTTAGACAAATAAAGTAATAATAATTCTTCCAGCATGGATGTGTTTAATTTCATAAGTTTAAAACAGTAGTCTTTCATTAAAATACCTCAATGATTTGATCTGGCTTGATGTACAGTAAAGATTAATTTATTGAAAAAGATTTCTCCTATTCTTATTAAAGAATTTATTCTTTTTTCTTACTGATATCTAAACTATCTTTTAGATGCCAATGAATATGGTGACATCTGTACAAAACATTGTAATGGAACAAATTTTGATCAACACCATACCTCATTATGACAGGTAGAAGATGGAGGTTTTTTACTAATCGATGGTTCATGTTGGAAACCATCTACATCCGGAACAACTGCCATATTAGCACAATCTTCTATATATTATCAAAGAAAAAAATAACAAATCCATCTATAGATATATACTTAAATCAAAAAGTCAACATAAAACGATCAGACCATGTCAACAATATAAGCCATAGAAGTTAGGGTCGCTTTTTTTTTTCACCAATGAAAAAGCATGTCTCTTAAATCAGCATTAACCAAAGCTTTGAGTTTATTAACATAAATCTAGGCCTATAGATGAGTGTCAAACAGGACTTAACTGCATCTCTAATCCAGGAATACGAAATGGAAATGACCTATGCGGTTTCTACTGGTACTCCAGTTTCCTCCCATGTATAAATAAAGGTCGCTGCTCAAAAAAAAATTATTGAAATATCTTAGTTGTGAAATCTATATAGTATTAAAGAAGCTAAACCCCTAACTCAATATCTTCCATAAAATTAAAAATCGAATAAAAAATCAAAATTGGTCCATTTCAATCAACACTGATGTTATCTTGCCTAAAAATATGGGATCTTAATGTCATGAACATTTAAAAATCAGTACACGAGCCGTACGTATCCTATGGCTTCGTGCGCCATTTGTAATGAACAAAGAAAAACAGATTTTACAAGACAATGCAGAAGTACATGTAATTAGTAATGACTGATTCACAAACATCTAAATAATAATAAAATAAAACGTGTTGAATGGACTAAGCAGGCGTAAACAACTGCCCTTAAATTTGGACTTCACATATTTCACAGAACATAACTGTTTAGAAATCACAGTAAAAAATTTTAAATTTCAATATAAATCACTTTATATACATTCATATTACATTTATATGTGCTTTTAGACTCCTTTTCATCTTTTTTTTTTTTTTTAAGGTTCCAAAGCCATACGCCCTCCCTCATGGAAATGACAATCAAACACACAGGAATATATTTTGATTTAGTAGTATTAAGTGAGAGTATGACACTTAAAGTTACAATTTCATATTTTCTAAGAAAGTCAAAACATAATTATTTCTATGTCTTTTGCTCAATAGGTTGTCAACTCGCAATTATACGATCATAGGTGTCATTTTCACACTTACAACTCATTTACACCGGAAATAATAACACAATTACCTCCCAATTACCTCCCTTGTTTTCTATTCACCATCACAGATTTGCTATCTTCAAACGTTTGAATTTGAAGAGGAAAATGATATTTTTGCCAATTTCTCAACTGGCAATAGTGAAATATAGGATTATTCTTTAACAAGGTAGGGCTGTTTATAGATATCATCTATTTTAAGGCTTTATTTTAATAAATTTTAAAAATATAACGTAAAAATAAGAAATTGCAACTTTAAGGCAATAAACTTTAAATAGATGAAAAGTAGACTGCACCCACAGTAGCTTAGTTGTTCATAAAGGATATCACATTTGTTATTATTTGTAGGTAACAGGAGTATTTACAAGATACTAAAACATGTACCGGTTATGATAATTTTAATTAATATCAAGGCTCGTAACTCTGAAAGTAACAATTATTGGAAATCATTAATAAGAATAAAATTACTAAAAATAAAATACCTACCTATCTGTTTTCTTAGTTTTGTTGTTAAAGGTGCCAATTTAGGATCTGGTTCCAATCCTAGTCCAGAGGTCACTTGAGCCACAGTATTTTCTAAATATGCTATGTAACTGATGATTCTTTGCATCATAACAACCTATTTTATAGAAAAAAAACCCCATAATACATGTACTTAAAAATATATATGAAAGTATCTGTGTTTGTCTGAAACAAGAGTTAAGGAGTACCTTAGTTTCTCTACCATCTTCTCCAGAGCCTGGAACATGTCTACATATTGCTCTTAGTCTTTCATTTAAAGTATGATGTCTCAACCTAGAATTACAGAAAAGACCAGATTATTTCTTTCATAAATTTGAGTATTCTTTATCTCTTGATATGTTTGGCTGCAACCAACAGTACTGTGCAACTTTTACATTATGTCAGTGAGAGATATCTTGTCACCTACTGGTTCATAAACAAAAGTTTATCAACCCACCTGTAAAATAATACATACCATGTTAAATAAATATTGCCTTCAGAATAAAAATTTCAAAAGATAAAAATGTAAGTTCTTTTTATTCAGTTATATTTTATATCTATGTACATCATGAAACATACAACATGTTCCATGGGAAGGCAACAAACAGAAAACATAGTGTCTTGTAAGTTTGTTGTTCTACCTTTCATTATGTCTATGTCTCTCCATTAATTTCATCAAGGTTCTTGGGGAATGTTCTTTTTTCCCTGTACATACATTAGTTTTCTTTCTGGAGATAGTTGAATTCGTATGCCCCATGGTATAAGGTCTTGTGCTTCGAACATAGCTCTTTTCCATTGCCTAAAACAGATAATCAGTCTGAAATAAAACATATTCGGTGTATTCTAATCCATATAATTATTAGATATAGTATTTAGGGTTTAGCATAAAAGGAATAAGTGCTTACTTACTAGCTGTAAGTACCACATATCCCATGTGAATAGTATTATTTATCATGAAAATATATTATCCCATGAAATTTCTCATCTTGTTTTAAAGGTATTCACTTATGTGAGTTACATGGCTGGAGAGGAATGAATTGAAATGGGGTTTAACATCCTACTGTTCTGCACCGACTAATTGGCTGGACAGAAAGGGTGGTGACAAGGTTAAGACATGAGTGGTGAACAGTACCAAGCCAATTTTATTTAATTCATACCTGATGACCAGTATTATTATCGCTGCCAAGGCTAGTATTTAAAGCAGGATCATTAAGTAAAGTTTTTAATGTAATCTTCTTTAGTTCTGTTTGGGTGGAAGCATCATTAGGGCTTGGTTCCGCATGAATATTAAAGAATGAAAAAGAGTGGTCATCATATTCCATCATCTTTAAGTCTTCTAAATCCTCTTCTTTATTAAAATCAGTTTCTTCTAAATCCTCTTCTTTATTAAAATCAGTTTCTTCTGAATTATGCCGGAAGTCAAATACAGGATGATAGGTAAACCTGGCTGTCATCTAATAAAAATTATAAAGATAAGATGCACATAGATAGATAAAATGTAGATAGATAAATTATATATAGGATGACTAGAAATACTCAATAGTTAAATTCTAATGTCACCAATAACTAATCAATATGGCCTAACTCTAATAAAAGTAATATAGGATTTAATCACACTCCCTCACTCTTCGTCTTCGTAAAGTTTTCTCATGGTCAGAGAGATGTTAATGGGTTTTCTCCCCCTGTCCTAAATAACGAATCCAAAGCCTCGCTTTACAAGCCTAGAAAATGACGTCCTATTTCGATAAATTTACTTAGATAGCGTATTTCCATCTTTTTAAAATTATACAAAACAATTCAAACAAAGCGTGTTTTCTATTCCGCAATGACTATGATACGTTATATTATTATGAAATTGTTATTTGCGTAATATTACCTCCAATTTTATACAAACTAGGCTTTCAGCCCCCGCCAAAGATTATGATATAATTTTAATCTTCGTACATTCCCGCCTTGTCTTAAGTGCTCAGACACGTGACATTCTTTGAACTTGTTTTTATAATTTATCGTGATGGAACACTATATTGGCATGCAATGTGATGAAAATCGTCCGACTAGATTTCACAAAAACTGTGTATTACAAATGTAAAACATGTCACGATACGAGAATTTCGTATAAACCCGACGAATAACCCATGTTTACGGAGATTGTCGAAATAACCCGAAATATTTGGATAGTAGCCGGAGATTACCGAACAAAACCAAAACACGGAAAATGCTGACGTATTACGCACGCCATCACTAAAACTGCATGATGGAAGAATCTGAATCATCTTATTCTCACACAAATGGTGTTGGTATGTAATCGTCTGTCCATGCTAATCATTAATTACTTCATTTTATATATGCGCATGCTTTATAATCTCTTTTTTTCCAGTATTTAATCCCTTCAATTCTTAATGTTAGACGTATGTTTATGAAAAACAAAGAGATGACATTGACACACGCACCTGTTCTTATCGGATTTAGTTTCGTTTGTCTGTCTCCAGCTTCGCTTGGTTCAGTGGCGGAACCGGTGACATTTAAATCGCATTTTTATTTAAGTAACCGGTTGATTTTTTTAACGCATGCAACTCACAGTCTGTTTATTGTTAATGAGATATTATCTATATTTTCTGACAGTTTTAAAGTCAAAAAGACAACAGTCCTCTATTATTGGAATGACAACTCTTTGAGTCTTTCATATTTGACAACCAATAAAGTGAATAAGATGCTTACCTCACATTTGAATGACTTTAGTTTCACAAGTCAGTAGGACTGCTGAATCATGATGGTGCTAATGCTTACTATATTGCATTGTCTGCTTTTTAACAATAGATAGGGAATAGAATGCGTGTGAATTTAAATTACACCACAGTTAACGGAGGTCCAATATTTTACATTGTGTTTGCTGATACAAGTGATGTAAATTAATTATGTTAACTCATAACATATGACAAAATGTAATAAAGTTGAATGACTGAAATAAAAAATTTGCTGTTTACAAAATACTCTGGCAAGGTTGTGTAGATGATTATCCATGGACACAACTTCCATTTTCAGTTTTGGAAATCAAACTTGAAAACTGATTCTTGTATTTCGTCTGAAATTTATCACAAAGTATCAGATAGTTGCATGTGACAGGACTAGAAAGTTGCATCTGTCTCCACCAGTGACTGTTTAATTTTATCGATTTGACAGGTAGTAAGTTAGGTTAAATTAATTTGACTTTGGACTGCTATACTCTCATATATTTAATTATTCTTTTCAAAAACAGGTGTAATGTAAGAATTAACCTGTTTGACCATTTCATTCAGAAATTTCTACTTTTATTTACAAAAATCACAATGGCTTCTTAAAATTTTTGTTGAAATTATAGCACTATATATGATATGATATGATAGATACTGCATGATAGACAATAGCACATAACAAGCATTTAATTGATCTCTGGATTCATTATTTATAGATATTGCTTATCTGGAATGGCTATAACTTGTATAAACATAGATTGTAGGTTTAATCTTTTAAATACTAAAATATGTATATATATCTATCAAATATCTACTGCATGTCTTTGATATTCATTTTTAATCATCTTGACTAAACAGTAAATCAAGTGTGTTTCTGGTAATAAAAAGAAAGAAGATTCCTGAATTTTTTGTTGTTTTTATTTTATTGAAGTGTGCATGAAATGGAACGGTAGTACAAAGCTTTTGAATGCTTATTTTTTTTTAGATTGGGGTCATATCCTTGAAGCAATGGTAACAAGCATTGTTAACCATTGATACAATACCCTTGCTATGGAAAAGTGATGTTTATGATTAGTAATCATCCCCTGATAAGATTGTCTCCCATGTATGTTACAAATTTGTCTGCGATATCACCTTCGGTGGAAGCGGACGTTAAACGCTAAGAACAACAAGTATGTTACAACTTGATACATCAGAGTTCAAATTTTCTGTTTAGGTTAATATGAAACTGTACATACACAATGTCAAAACTAAATTATGACAGAGATTCCCTTTTCTATATACTTCAATAATGATACCAAAACCACATATGAATCTAAAATGTATTATTATGAAAAATAGTCTTGTGTCTGATAAATACATATCAACAGAGAAATTAATGCAAGAAGCCCAGACAACTTTTTTGAATTAGGACAGTGACCTAGTAACTTTAAATGCTGTGACACATAAGTTTGTGCTGAGTATTCTTTTACCAAGAATCACTTAGCATAATTGGGTACCTGGCTGTGTTTAAAGAATCCTTAGTTTTAAAATTTATGATTCATTAGCATTTTAAAGTTCTTTTACTTGCACACCAATGTATATCAGACTACATTTTAAATACAAACAAAGGTAAATTAATACAAATTAAACATACATGATATTGATAATGCAGTATGTTATATTAAGTTCAACTGGGTCTCCAGCTAGATATTGCAATCAATGTGACACTAATTTCTCAAACAAATCTCTTTTATAACATTTTGCACACGAAACATACAATTTGTTACATTTTGATACCTGTGTCTTAAACTCTTGACAATTCGTCTTATGTTCGAGTAGTAGGTTCATGGCCTTATGTTAAGATTGCTCATTTTTGAACCAGTATCTGGTCCCATACACTTAACATTGTTATTCTAGGGGCAATGCTCTTAAAATCGACCTGAAATTGGGTCCGATTGTTCTTTGGAACGATGCACATTTTTTTTTTTATGGGATATCACAATTATAAGATTGCACCGTTGGCATTATGGTCCATTCCTGGTTCATATAGCAGGCTTGTACTTGTTAATCTCTGCAAATCACACATGCATTTCAATTTGGGTGTACATTATGCCAATTCTACCCCCATTTAACAAATTCTTATTTAGTGATTGCAATTATTGGATTTGTTATACGCCCACATTTTCATGGCCTCTGTACGAAAAAGTGCGCACATTTAGCTTGTGGTCCCTCTAGAGGTCACAATTTTTATCTGATTTAAAAAAACGTTTTATTATCACCGTTGCACCCTAATGATGATTGTGTTTGAATTTCGTGAAAATCGGACCAAAACTGTCGGACAAAATGGCCGCCCCTGGTACGCAAATAGTGTGAACACCTGGGGCCTGTTTCACAAAATTTTAACTAACATAAAATCCAAATTTTAGTAATTTGATTGGATAATATTAGATTGATTTTAGTGCTTAGCCAATCAAAATTGAAGTATCTACTAACCTTTCATATGTATCACTGTTACAGTAATTTTGTCTGAGTTTGAATTTCATGAAAATCGGACCAAAACTGCCGGACAAAATGACCGCCTCTCGTACACAAATAGTGTAAACATCTGGTATATCGAAGTTGTGGATCCTCTAGAGGCCACAATTTTGATCCGATTTTGATGAATCTTGAAATGCAAGTTTATAACTCAAAGATCTCGGTTCCTTTCAATATTCGCACATATCGGATCGTAACTTCCTGAATAATGGCCACTGATTGTACGAAAAAACATGTTTTTAGCTTGTGGTTCTTATAGAGGTCACATTTATTATCCAATTAAAAAAAAAACGTTCCAATATATCACCGTTACACCGTAATGTTTGTTGAGTTTTAAATTTGGTGAAAATCAAGCCAAAACTGCCAGGGAAAATGGCTGCCCCTCGTACGCAAATAGTGTAAACATCTGGTAAATCAAGGTAGTGGACCCTCTAAGAGGTCACAATTTTGATCTGATTTTGATGAAACTTGTACATGTTTATAACCCAAAAATATTGGTTCCTTTCGTTATTCGCACATATCAGATTGTAACTTCCTGAAGTTGGTTCCTTTTGATATTCGCGCGTATCGGATTGTATTTTGAACAAAAAATAACGTTTTAAGCTTGTGGTCACAATTTTTATCCGATTTAAAAAAAAACGTGTGAATATATCACCATTACACACTAAGATCTTGGTTCCTTTTGATAATCGCGGATACCTGTACTTAACTTCCTGGATTATGGCCCCTGATGGTTCGATTTTTAGTTTGTGGATTCTCTAGAGGTCACAATTTTCTTCCGATTTTAAAAAACATTTAAATACATTACCATTCCACGATATTGAAGGTTGAATTTATCCGATTTTTATGAAACTTAAAACATATCTTTATATCCCAAAGATCTCATTCCTTATTGATATTTGCACATTTCAGGTATTAACTTTCTGGATTATTGCCCCTGATTGTACAAAAAATCGTGTTTGTTTTTAGCTTGTTTTCTATCCATAATTAAGTTGTTATGACCTAGTATTGTCCTATCATTTTGTGTTTTAATTTATCTCTTGTTTACTAAGTAGCAAAATAGAAGTTGTTTTTAAACAATAGAATTTTTACTGTGCCTTTTAGACTCAAAATAATAAAGCTTACCCAAAGAATGAAATAACATTGTACTGTTTTATTGACACTGTTAACAAAGATAGCTTGCTTATGTTTTGTTGAATCTTCAGGTGTTAGCTGTTAAATATTACTAGAAAAGGCAGTTAGCTTTTACAAACTTTGAACTAAATATAAATGTAACTTGTAACAGTTAAAAGAATGTTATTTCTATACATTCACATGTATTGTTGTTAACCCGGGGTGTCTGTCCACAATTCCTGTTAACCCTCTGAAAGCTACAATTGTTCTCGGACAATGTTTATGTAGAAATAAACTGGGCTAATGAAGACAACTGGGCTAATGAAGACAATCATATGCAATGCAGTGTGCCATGATCGAATTCCAACCCCCAACTTGGGTTCTTTTATGTGCACGCCAATGTATACATGGGACTTTGATTTTTCATACCATCCAAACAACTGGAAAAACAGACTGGAAAAATCCTGATGAACTTTCTCTGCAAAAAATGGGATCAATCCATTGACGTCCTGGTTAGCGAGCCAGAATTTCAGTCACTGAGCCACCAGCATTATTCCCCATTGTAATGCAGCACCCTTGTTAAAACTATGGAGATCAAAATTTAATCAGAGCATTTTGTAGGTTCTCTATATACGTGGTAGTATACAAGAGAAAGAATATACTAATTTTCAATTATTTCTGAGATTAGGTTTTGGAAATACCCCTATGTGTAGGTGGTGGGTGGATACTTACATTTCTTAATAAAAATCTTTATTCTATGAGTAATTTTAATAAAGGAAAAAGCTTGTAGTTACTAAGAATTACAAATTATTAATTGTTTCTTTTCCTATATAATATCCTTTGTCTTAGTATTTCCTTACTGAGCTTACTTGTAAGAAACCCAAAAGTCCATCTCTGGAGTCTCCACCCAACTAAGGGGAGTTGTGTCCCTTTTCATTGATAGTATTAAGTGCCAGAGGCAGTAGACGTAGTATTATAATGAAGGTAGTTGAAAACACTGTGTGGTAGATATTGATTAGTAGACTACCTGCAACCGTTAGAAGGCAACATATTGATCTCTGTATGTATGGGAAGTACAGGCAAAAAGGAAACGAGGTGATGTTTACAGGGATTACGTTGTGACAATTTCGGGGATTTTACTTTCGGATCTTTATTTATTGGATTAATAGACAATGTGGCCTATAGAGGAAAATACTACAGTACAAAATCAACATTGTATGGAAGTGTTAGGTTAGTATTGCTATTCCTAACAGTTGACAGGTCACATTTATTAATAATAACAAAATATCTTTTTTGCATGCATCCAAGGAGATTTAACACCATCCATTCTTGATACAGAGACATGTATATTATATTTCTTAATTGGTTTATTTATTTTGAAAGCTCTAATACTATGATGACCAGTTGACATTGACATTACGTGTATATACTATGCATATTCTTTTATGATATCATATATATATACTTTATTTATACTTCTTTCATCTAGTATTAAATGACATTTCCTGACTAATATGAGTAAAGAGCTAGGATAAGATTTCAGTGTATATAAATATAGAAAGTTGAATTGACATATATCATTGTATGTATTGCAATATTCTATGTGATCATGTCAATATCTATTACTGTATATTCAACCTAGTTTTCTATTGATTTTACATTTATAAACAGCAACCAAATTTTATTTCTCATATATTTGTATTTCTGGTTTTGTTGAGTGAAAATGATTGAAATGTCCAGTTAAAGAGACGAAATCAATTGGTCACATTTGTTAAAAGTGACATATGTGGGTACACCTTATGTCAACCAGCTGTGTAGTTTCTTACCTTTCTCAGATAATAAACTCAAAATAGTTTTCTAAAGTCTTAAGTCTGGTATTAAGAAATATAGGCTACATTTGTCATTCATATTAAAAGAGCAGGCTTTATTTGATAAGTTGAATTAGGAAAATAATTTTGATTAAAAACATCCAATCATATTTTTATAATGCCCATGTTTCAAATGAATTTGATTAGTGCACACATGTAGCGAATACATTTCGTCAATTAGACTTCAAAAAGTTAGGTCAGTTCTGGTAAATGTAATTATAACATTTCAAATATGATCCATTCATTATTGTCCTGCCCTACATCAAATAATCTTTAGTGTTTGCTACAAACATCTTTAAAAGTCAGGTTGTTATTGATTTTATTCAATTTCATTAGGTTTTATTAACGTGAAATAACCATTGTGTAGAAATGTTACAAAATAAGATTGATGTGATGAAATGGGTTTTCTTTAATGTTTTGTGATAAATATGACAAGAATCAATCATGTGGAAGTCTGTATGATTTATGCATTGTGTAGTAATTCCTAATACTAAACAACAGAACTACACTATTCAACAAAAAGAGATCCATGATATAATTTTATGATAAATGAAATGGGGTTTCTTGTCCTACTTATCTGGACCAACCAGGCTAATGAGGCACATTCCTACTATTTAATGTTGACGCCAGTTTTTCATACCATCCCAATGTCTAGACTCTGTATTTGCCAGTCCCTTCAAACTATACTACTGACAAAGGGTAACCATGTGGAAAAATTTCAGGAAAATTTCTCAGCCAACACTAAGATTAAGATCTGAATCCCAGTTTACCCACTGAGTCACTGTGGCTCACTTAATAATAAATGCATGCTATCCTTAGATTGAAACAATAGTTCATATTAAAACACTGTAATAACATAAATAAATTATAAAAGTGTTATTGAGTTTAGAGACAGTGGTAGATAAATGTTTGCACATTTTTACTTTAAGAACATATAAAGACTTTATGACTAATGTCCTTTGTGATGTAAATTTCTTTTTCTTATCTGTAATGTGAAAATCTTTTTTACTGACTCCAGGTTTAAATTAAAGCTGATTGTAGGTATATTACGTAGGAAAGAGGTGTAATCTATATTTAGTATAAAGGTGTATCTTTTTCTGATCTATTTGAATTACTTTATCTTAATCTTGTGGATTTATTCATTTGAAGGTGTAAATATTATCTAAAATGACACAATTTAGGTGTGATAAATCCCTCTGGTGTTGATCTCCCTTTCTATTTAAATGGTGTCATTAATGCCTGGAGCAGCTATTACAAGCTGATTAATACTTTCACCATGTTTCTTGCTCACCCCATTACTTCCATGTTAATCAAGGGATAAATGTCACTTCTTACACCTTCTTTGAAATAGATCAAGTAAGACAACCATAAGCTGTCACACAAATTTTATGAATTAGTTCTAATTAGTTCTGGTAGCCAGGTTTTAGTTCCCTTTAAAGTATTTATCACATAATATTATGAAAATGTCTCATGATAATTAAACTAATGATTTTTTAATTGGAATATGGATTGAAATTGAAGGGCATAATGAACCTATCAGAGTTCTTATTCAAATAGGGATACAATTAATTTTGCCAAAACAATTACAAGCACTAGATTAAACATGCATTATGCAAGAGCCAAATCTGCCTATTGCAGGTCTTTCTTTAGGCCTGAAATGTTATCTAAATTATCAATTAGACATTAATTAACTTATCCAGACCATAATCAACTCTCGATGTCATCGCTAGCCTGCGATATTTACTGGATTAGGAACCGATTTGCTGCACTACTTTCATTCATAATTAAATCATGAAATGGATAATCGAGACTACGTTTTTTATCATACTGACTTTGGTAATGATGATCGAGGCTAGGCTGAAAATTCAATCGCTAAATTCTTGGTTCAGAGTGCATCAGTTTGACTGAAATTTTCAGCAAATTCCCTTTACATTATCTAGTTTTTAACTATCATAGTGAGAGCTGCTAGCTCTTTATCTAATCTCCCATAATGTATCTTTAACCTTATCACAAGGAGACAAATATTTGTTTTTCTATGGTCATGCATGCACTGCCATAGAGGAGATTTTGCTCAGACAGTGGCGTTTCTGCCTACTCTTCACCGTATTTCAATTGTCAGTGGGTTTTTTTTTTACGTATATTCCAATGTGTACCCAGACTAGTGCTGGGAAACCGGCTTGAAAAATCCTATTGATTAAAAAATGAGACTGCTCAACTACCATAGTTCTGAGTGATTTGGTCAAAGATGAATCCTAATATTTTTGTATTTATGTAAACATTTATCAAATCTCCATCTGTAAAATATTCTTATCATGTGGAAATATATTATCAACTTAATGTCTCTAATCTCCATATAAACAGATTCTCATCCAGATACAACACAGTTAGAACCCATATAAAGATTTAATCTTAACGCCTGGAAGGATAGAATATTTATAACGTTTTATTTTGGTACTACCCGTACTTTATGATACATGTTATAAGACATCTTCCATGAATATTTTTATTTTTTATCTCTCCCGCTGTTACTGGTCTGGAACTTTGACTATCAAAGGAATCATAAATGACTGGGTGAGTGGTTCTGGAAGCCTTAAGATAAAACGGTTGTCTAATTAAAACACATCTCTTCTAAAACACTTGTTGGTTATACTGTATCTTGCACTCAACATTGGTGGCCAGATACAGACTATCTCTGATTATAATCCAACTTTTTTTAAGCATTAAAAAGTAGACCACAGATATATTCAATATCATGATTATTATATTCTGACCTTGTCTTCAGAAAAACATTAATTTTTCTTTATCAGTGAGCTAATCATTTCCACAGGTAAATCTTCGTTTAAAAAATGAGTGTTTGTAAAGAATCAACATATATAAGCTTAGCAATCAGAATGTCATTACTATGTGTGCATGTGCAGTTGATTTTATCATGTTACATATCATCTTAAGTGTCATGCGTATACTAATTCTAGAAAAACAACTTTACATATCATCGTTAAAGTTACAATTTCATATTTTTAAGTTATATTTATAAAATGTATTAAAATAAAGCCCTAAAATAGATGGTATCTATAAACAGTCCTACCTTGTTAAAGAATAATCCTATTAATCCTATAATTCATTATTGCCAGTTGAGAAATTGGCAAAAATATCATTTTCAACTTCAAATTCAAGCATTTGAAGATAGCTATTCCATGGTGGGGAATAGGAAAACAAGGGAGGTAATTGGGGGTAATTGTGTTATTATTTCCGGTGTGAAGATTTTTAAGTGTGAGAAAGATAACCTATGATCGTAAAATAGTGAGTTGACAACTTATTGAGCAAAAGACATAGAAATAATTATGTTTTGATTTTCTTAGAAAATATGAAATTGTAACTTTAAGTGTCATACTTATACTAATTCTGCATATATTTTGTGTCATTTCATTAGAATGCATAAAATAAGGCTACCCCAATTAATTATAGCAGACAAAACAGGCCAACTTAATAAGGGACACTCTTGATTTTAGCATTATTAAAGGAGAAGAACAGTAGTTACAAATACTTTATATTTTGTTCATTATCTAGTTTGCACAATGCTAAATTTGGAAGTACAGCCCATTTTACCTTTACTTCACAGATTAAGATGCTGGCTGTGAGTGTGTGACATCATCAGGGTAACTATCACTCACTGTTTATAAACAAAATAATGCGATCATGGCTTCAGTTGAATACACTAAAAAAAGGCATTGTATTGAAGACTGTTACAGCATGGGAGCTGCTTTATTTCTATTGAGTATGACAGTTACCGTCATGATGTCACTGGTTGCATGTCCGTTTTGAATAAAGTCAAAATGATTAGTACTTTCTGTTGAGCTGAGCTTTGTTGAAAACATTTCCTTACTGCTACTAGGTAATGAACAAAATATAACAAATCTTCAAAGGCTGAACTATTCCATAACCTGCCATAAATCTACACAATAAAATATATTTTCATTTAAAAAAAAAGATAATGCATGAAACAGCAAAATTTTATCATTTAAATAAACATGACTATCTTTCTTGAGATAGTTTTGGTATATTTTAAATATATCTGTATTATTTGTATACAGTCTCTGTATTATTATAGTATATTACTTACGTTGCAAATTTGTCAATATCATACCTATATATAAAATATTGATTATTCTGTCATATTAACTATTTGTCATGATTTACGCTGTATATGAAAATTATGAATAACAATGAAAAATAATATATACCAAATTTTTCTTGATAAATGGGAGAATACATAACTATCAATGGTTTAAACACAGGACTTATAATAAATGTGATTATATATATATATAATTTCACTCACAGTGTCGGTCACTGTTAGTAAAA